AGGCACGTGCCACCACACCTGGCTAATTTTTTTTTGTTTGTAGTAGAGATGGGGTTTCACCTCGTTGGCCAGGCTGCTCTTGAGCTCCTGACCTCGTGATCTGCTCGCCTCGGCCTCCCAAAGTGCCTAGATTACAGATATGAGCCACTGGGCCCGGCCGGATATGACACTTTGTAAGCCCTGGGTTATTTGCCAAAGTACCAGAGGCCCTGGGCTTTCCCAGTTATTTAACAGCTACTGATAATGTGTGCATCATGTACTTATTATTAGTTAATGCAAATAGTCCCCCAAATTTCTGACCTCTGTGAAATAAACTGATGATGCTGTTGTCTAGCTAGCTCTTGGTTATGTGAGACTGAATTAACCTGTTCAGCAAGTATGAGTGCCTACCATGTTATGACACTGTGCTAGGTGCTGTAGAGGCCATATACCTGGGAAGCATAGCATTCTCACACTTTAGTAATTCCTACCCCCTGCGGGACAAAGCAGTCTGACCTTTGTGAAACTAGTCTGTAACTCTCAAACTTAAGCAAACATTAGAATCACCTGAAGGGTTTTAGAACCCTGATTGCAGGGCCTCACCCCCAGACCTTGATTTTAACTGTAGCGTTTGGATTTCTAGGCTGCGCGCAGTGGCTCATGCCTGTAACTCCAGCACTTTGGGAAGCCGAGGCAGGCGGATCACGAGGACAAGAGATCCAGACCATCCTGGCCAACATGGTGAAACCCCGTCTTTACTAAAAATACAAAAATAAGCTGGGCATGGTGGTGCCCACCCGTAGTCCCAGCTACTTAGGAGGCTGAGGCAAGAGAATCACTTTAACCCAGGTGGTGGAGGTTATAGTGAGCCAAGATCATGCCACAGCACTCCAGCCTGGCAACAGAGTGAAGAAACTCTGTCTCAAAAAAAAAAAAAAAAAAAAAAAAAGAATTTGGATTTCTAACAAGTTGCCAGGTGATGTTGATGCTCCAGGTCCAGGGACCACACTTACAAATCACTGTAGCAGGAATTTCTCATGTTTATTTATTAAGAAAAAAAAAGAATCACTGCCTTAGTGTTCAGTGAAGCCTTGCTAACTAACTAACTAACTATACTCCTTTTAGATTGTGCTGTGACTATATCGAGGAGAGGTTTCCAAACGGTTTAATTGAGTTTTCAGGATCCATGAGTTAAAAAAACAAAACTGCCTGTTTATTAAAAAGTGTAGTTGTGGAAAATAACAATAGTTGCCATTCGATGATAACTTACTGTATACCAGGCAACGATAGAGTACTTTATAGAGTAATTTCATTTAAAATATGTAGTATGGTTTTATTTAAGCAGTTTTTTTTTTTTGGAATCGGAGTCTCATACTGTCACCCAGGCTGGTGTGAAGTGGCATGATCTTGGCTTACTGCAGCCTCTGCCTCCCGAGTTCAAGTGATTCTCCTGCCTCACTCACTACAGGTGGCCGCCACCACACCCGGCTAATTTTTTGTATTTTTAGTAGAGACAGGGTTTCACTGTGTTGATCAGGCTGGTGTCAAACTCCTGATTTCATGATCCTCCTGCCTCGGCCTCCCAAAATGCTGGGATTACAGGTGTGAGCCACCATGCCCAGTTTAATCAGCTTTTTGACTTCTAAGGACAACTTCTTGAATCAAGCAAGGTGTTTCGGCCTTATCAGAAAAAAGTTGGCCTATAGTTTCAGCTACTCAGGGGGCTAAGGCCAGAGGATTACTTGAGGCCAGCAATTCAAGTCCACCTGGACAACATGGTGAAACTCTGTAACTTAAGAAAAAAGAAAAAGTTGGCTGGGCACTGTGGCTAACGCCTGTAATCCTAGCATTTTGGGAGGCCAAGGTGGGTGGATCACCTGAGGTCAGGAGTTCAAGACCAGCCTGGCCATCATGGTGAAACCCCATCTTTAAAAAAAAAAGAAAAAGTTGATCTTTGAAGAATTCATGAAAATACCTAGTCAGAATTTGCAGGGAAAGATCTTATAAACTTCAGTTTGAACATCATTTTCATCTTCTGTATGTAAATTAGGTAAAGGTTGAAATTTGCAGTAAGTAGAATTTTGGTCATTTCAATTATATAACTCATATACATTGTAATTAGACTTACATAGTGCATTATTTACATTGTAATTACGTAGAGGCTTACACACAATCTAATATAAATTAATAGTAACTATTTGATTTCAAAGAGGACTGTTCTGCATTTTATTACTCTTTTTTTTGTTTCCTTTTGCTTTTTGAGACAGAGTTTCACTCTTGTCGACCAGGCTGGAGTCCACTGGCATGACCTCAGCTCACTGCAACTTCTGCTTCCCAGGTCCAAGTGATTCTCCTGCCTCAGCCTCCTGAGTAGCTGGGATTACAGGGGTGCACCACCACGCTCAACAAATTTTTTGTATTTTTAGTAGAGACAGTGTTTCACCATGTTGGTCAGGCTGGTCTCGAACTCCTGACCTCAGATGATCCACCCACTTTGGCCTCCCAAAGTGCTGGGATTACAGGCTTGAGGCATTACACCCAGCCTGCATTTTAGTATTCTAAGATATAGCCAAACTTTATGCCTGGAATTTGTTCTGAGCTGGAACACATTCCAAGTAAGAGTCAGGGAATGTTCCATGACTTGTGGCTTTGGTTAGAAAAGAAAAAGGAGTCAGGGAATGCAGCACCCTCTGATCACGACTGGGAGGTCTAAAGCAGAAAATTCATTTGTCTCATAACCAATTTAAATTTTCAAATTAAAACTGAAAGAGAAAATAAATCCCTTACCTGGGAAGCTTTACTGTCCGATCACACACAAGAAGTTAAAGATTGTGCTTGGAGTTGGTCTGCAAAAGTAATAAGGAATTTGTACTGACCCTTCTGCACCTGCTTTTACAGAGCAATTGGAAGGGCAGAGTTGGTGTTGGAAGAAAAGGCCTTTTTTTGGAGGAGGGGAAGCATCCAACTTTGTCTTTAGCTTAGAGTTCACTAGCACTTCACTCTAGCCACTCAAGCTGCTTGACTATGATGAGTCTTGTGTACTTCTGTGTAGACTAGATAAGGTGTTATTTCTGTGGGTTATGTGGGTCTCTGGTATTCAGTGTTGAAGCTCAAACAAAGCAGGTGTTTTTTCTGTATTTCTTGTTAATAGGCAGTTGCTTTTGGTTGGACCTAAATATTGTGGGATTTGTGTAGGGATAGTTCACACAGCATTTGTTTTGGCAGAATTTAATATGAAATCCGAGAAGTTTAAATTCATAGGTTTTGTTTCTAGAATTTTACATAACCCTAGTCTTTTTTATTTCTTATTTATTTTTTAATTTTTTTGTGATGGAATCTTGCTCTGTTGTCCAGGCTAGAGTGCAGTGGCATGATCTTGGCTCACCACAACCTCCACCTGCCAGGTTTCAGCAATTCTCCTGACTCAGCCTCCTGCGTAGCTGGGATTACAGGCGCCTGCCACCTCACCCAGCTAATTTTTGTATTTTTAATAGAGACGGGGTTTCACCATGTTGGTCAGGCTAGTCTCAAACTCCTGACCTCAAGTTATCTACCAGCCTCAGCCTCCCAAAGTGCTGGGATTACAGGTGTGAGCCATGGCACCCAGCCAAAACCTTAACACTACTTTCTTGAAGGGATGTGTGATAGAAAGAGTCTGGGCTTGAAAGTAGAAGACAAAAATGAGAGCCTAAGACTGATTTAGAGAAAGATTCTGAAGACAGTTATGAGGTAGAATGGAGAAGATATGGAGCAAAAAAGGAAGGAACAATAACATATAAAAGGAGAAATTAAAATTTAGTTATAGACTGGAATTTGAAATTGGTCTTGCAATTTAAGTAACTGTGGACAAATTAATTCACTTGCCTATGCCTCAATTTTTTTTTTTTAATCAAAAGAGAATAACATCTCAAGTTGTGTTTCCGTTTTTTTTGTTTGTTTACTTAGATTTTTATGTCTTTTCACTTTCTCAATCTCCTCTGTGGTCACATTCATCAGGTATTCTGTCACGTTCATCACTGCCAGGCTGGCCTGTGTTCTTTCTAGGCCTGCTGCATAGCTGTCATCCTGAGATCTCCCTTCACCCGTTACCTAGGGATTCCTTTTGCCTTTCCTGTTGGATCCTATTTTCTTCCCCTTGGTTCACTCCCAGGTTTCATTACAGCAGTTCTTCCAGTGATTTTCTGAGAAAGTTGCTGGGAGGTCAAATTTTAAAATCCTTTCATACCTGAAAACATCTTTATTCTGTCCCCATACTTGACTGATACGTTGGCTGCATATACACTTCCGGACTGAATACCCTTTTTCCTCAGAATTTTGGATTTTTTTTCTTATATGGTATCTGACACTCCGATTTGGAGAGATATAATGCTATTTTGAGTCTTGCTTATTTTTCTGCATTTATTTAAGGCTAACTGGAAGTTCTGTGCGTTTGGATGGATCTTTAATAAAACAGTGGGGCATACTGTTAATTCTTTGTGGAGCTCTTGATACCAATATATTTTGTCTTATCACTTGGCCTGGGCAAGCACAGAATGCCCATATTCCAGGGAGCTGAGTCAGGGAAGAGAGCAGAAAGAAAAATCTGTGGCTTTGTGTTTTCTCTCCTTGTTTTCAGTGTCCCTGCCCTCAGTCGTGCCCTTTGTCCGTAAGCCCAGAGACTTTCCATTTTGCCCTTTCTGAGGAACCTCCAGTTTTTTTCCACAGTGGGAGAGGAGACCTGGGGGTCTGTTATTTGATGGACTGACAGATCATCATATTTCAGGCTTACTTCACTCATACTTGTAGAGGTACTTGGTACCACCAGTTCCTGAACCTTTTGAGGGTTCTATAATACAAATCAGGATTTTCCAATATCTCTATAGCTGGTTTAGGATTAGTCTTTCTTATATGTGTTAAGTCATTTTCCTTCTTTTTTTTTTTTTTTTTTTT